AGAAAGAAAGAAAGAAAGAAAGAAAGAAAGAAAGAAAGAAAGAAAGAGTCTCCTTGCTCATGTCCAGTAAAATTAAAGTATGGGATTATGTTTTCCTGAACTATGTTATCCTAAAGGATGCATAAGTGTTCACCAAGTAAATGAAAGGGGAAAAAAACAGAAAGAATGGCATGAGCAACAGTACTCACATGAAAATCATATGGTATATGGGGAAAAAAAAAAAAAGAAGAAGCTGCAACAGTCTGATAAAGCCTGGCTGCAGGTATAGGGTGGGGAAGTGAACAGGAAACAAAACCTGGAAGACTTTGTGTGCCTTAATATGGTTGGCCTTAATTCATAAATACTGTTCATGGTAGTCATGGAAGTGTTTTTGAAAAGAGATGGAATTTCTGTGAAAGAAAGAATGAATTGGAAAAAATTAATTGGAGGACATTGAAACTGGTAGAAGAAAAACTCCCAACTCAGAATACAAAGATTTAAAAACAGTACTTACTACTTACTGGCTTAGTCTAATTCCATTTTAGGCCTTGGTCTCACCCCTTGTGTTTGTGTCTCTCTCTGTCTCTCTCTGTCTGTCTGTCTCTGTCTGTATATATATATACATATATATATATGTATATAGGCTTATCTTTCCCTACTTAGAACAATGACATATATTTATACTTACTTTGGAAAATTTTTTAAATGCAAAATAAATTTAAATCAGTCATAGTCCCATTACCCAGAGGTACTCATGCAGTAGACATTGTAGTATATTTTCTCCCTTCTTTCCCTGCACTTTGAATATGACCTTGGGGTACTGAAGACTTCAGAGTTTGAACAAGGAAAAGACAATAGTAAGTAGCTTCATAAACATTTATAACAGTTAGCCAAAACCATGATGAACTAAACATGGTTTTCCAGAGAGATGTCTACAACTGTAGGATATAATTCCATGACTCTAGAGTCTAAAAAAAAATGTAGGTCTGAGAGTTGTAATGGGCTTTCATTTGGGTCAGTAAAAGGCCCTGGATGTAGGCTCTAGTCTCTGTTTCCAGTCATCAAAATGAAAGAAGAAAGGCAGAAGATTTAGATTTTTTTTTTTTAAGTATTCTGAATTAGAGACTTAGAAAACTCACCCATCATGATTCTACAATCATCTTGGGAATTGGAAAGACCAATAAATAAAATGATGAGTAGTTTCAGATTTGAGTGTTAAAGATCGACTGAAATCTACAACCAAACTGGAAAAAAAAAAGATTGTTCGTGAGGGAGTTTATAGATCAAAAGGGTGAGATGATAAGAGCTGATTGGTGGCAAACATTAAAGCTAGAGATGAAAAGTTTAATGGAAATATTATACTTTTATGAAAGACATTTATCAAAGCATTTTAAAAGAAAGTATTTTTCAGGTTGGAATGATTTTTTTTTCCCCCTCTGATAGCATTTACATGGTCCTCCCCTCATGTAAGCTGTCTGCGCACAACTAAGCAGGGTGACAGGCATGCATGCATGTACACACAGGGGCCTGGGGAAATCTGTGCATTTGAAATGTGTTCTGTATGAGCCAGGATACAAATCCTCTAATCTTTTAAGTCACTCACCCAAAAAGAAAAATATTGCATATAAATTCAGCCCTTCTTTTCTATTGATACATTTATCATAGTTATCACCGTTTATAGCACTGGGCTCCTTGCCCCTGCACAATGTCATATAGAAAATTAAAAATTATTAAAACCAAACATTCTTGATTTTGTTGCATTTTGGTTCTTGAACATTTTTATCTAATGCTGAGAAAGTATTTTATTTCTTCCATAAATTGAAAAATACCTTGTGTGATATAAAGAAAAAACGAGGGAAAGGAAGAGAGAGAGACAAAAGTATCCTTAACTAGTATAATTATTTATCATTTCTTAAGAGGAATGGAAGCATTAGCCTTCCAAAACCCTAAGAGCACTTAATTTGATAAATTTGTCATTGTGATATCTGGTATTAAAAATGGTACTATATCAGGTACTAAGTGATATTTATTTTCATTTAATATTTAAAATTTTTTTAAATATGAAAAAAATAGTCCACTGCCCAAACATAAAGTCTGTTGATATTTTAGTGTACCTTCTTCTTATTCCTATGTAAGGGTCATAGTTTTGAAACTGTGATCAACTTGCATTATGCTTTTGTGAGGTAATATTATATCAAGAGTACATTCTATGTTATTACATGTTCTTTTAAAACCTTAATTGAAAGAGCTGTAAAATACTTGACTTTCGTTGCTTCTATTGTTGCTACAGTGCATATCAATATTGCTATTTTTTGTCACTATTGCCAAATTTCTCTCCAAAGAGAGTATACTCATCTGTTACCAATTGCAATATATGAGTGTCCCTCTCAATACACCCTGCCAACATTAGGCATTATCTTTTATTTGTTTATCTAAGCACAAAAAATGGTATTTTGTTTTCATTTAACTTTGAAATTACTAGTGAGGTCGAAAAGTTCCATGTGCTTTTTATAAGTACTATTTCTTCTTTTTTACATCTTTTTGTTCCTATCATTAAATTCATTCATGTTAAAGATCAAGAATATTTCTTAAAAGGAAACATCAAGAAACACTGATTGACAGCCTATATTAGTATTTGTACTAATTTCAATGTCTTCTTCAGTTGGATGATCCACTGACATAAACAAGAGGAGATCTGTTACCAACTGGAAAAAATGAGACCAGCTCATCCTAGAGAGCAAAGCCTGCAAGAGTTGAAACAGAGAAAATAATGGTGTTAGTAATTCCTTCTTAAAAAGTACAGGAACTGCCAATTGCCCTCTTGAATTGTGTCTTGCTAGGTAATGAATCAAAGGCAATGCTAAGAAAGTGATACATCTATCAAAAAGTCTTTAATAGAACAAGCATGCAAGAGGTGCTTCTGGAAAAGTGAATGAGTAAATGAATGGATTCTTGTATACTGAGTTCCTGCCTGATCAGTTATGCTTATTTAAGCAGAAACAAAATTATGTCAATGAATATAAGAGGAAAGAAAGATGTTCAGGAATAGGAAAAAAGAACTCTCAATCAAGAATTCTACAAAAGGTTATTTTGAAGAGATAAATTTTAAGCAAGGGGCAAGGTATGTGTGGAGAGCAAACAAATTCAGAGTAAAAGATGAAGTAACACCTCCAAAAGAGAAAACTCTATTTTGTGTTTGAGTAGGGATGCCAGAAAGTAGAATGTAAAAGTAGAACTGATTATTATGTTTCAATTCTGATTTTAATTAGCCTAATATAGCAAGGAACACCATCACAAGTAAGGATATGGACAAAAAAGACTACTCTTTCAAGGAAAGTGATGTGGATTTGTACCTGCAAAAAGGCATATACTTTCTCCCATCACAGAAACCAGAACAAACTAGTAGATAAAATAAAGTTTGGCAGGGAGAAGATTTATCAATAATAACAATAGACAGATATTAGGTTATTAGATGATGGAGTTTTTCAAAATCAGATGTCTTTGGAAATCCAATCAAGTGAGACACTTTCACTAAGATCCAGTTGGCATTTAGAGGGATAGAGAGTGAGGGACCAGTTTTCATGAATGTGTTTATCAATCTAACATTGCTAACATAAAGGCTGAAGTGATACAAAGGAAAGTGCAAAATAAAGCTGGAAAAGAGGCTTTGTAAAAATGGTTTCACACGTAAAATCCAAGCACATGTGATTTATATCCTAGGATAATAAAAAAGCTATCATAAATGAGACCCCACTT